TCTGAAATTCCACCTCAGCTGATGGAAATTAGGCGGAAAACTGCGCTAGAACTTTGCATAGACAAAACTGTTCAAAGCAGCTAGCTAATTATCTTTACGCCAATTGACGTGTACAAAGATATCTCAAAACGACAAGCTTCGAATCGCCCTCGTTTCAGTCTTGACGCCACTCGCCCCGAGCTAGCCGAGCCCTTATACGCTCACCTCTAACCCTCAGATCTAGTCCTAGTGTGTGTGTGTGCATTAAAACGTGCAGCGTTCAACTCGTCAACTGCTCATCTAAATTTCATTCAAGCCGCAGGGCCCAAAATGTTCGCAACAGACAACTCCGGCCGTGCCTTGCCTCGGTCCCGGCAAGCGGCAAGTTGAACCCAATCGAATCATCGGGCCACACGAGCTAATTGAAATGTCTGTCAACGCGGATTGATCGCAAAAACTAAATGCAACTCAATCAGCGAAAGTTTCCTTCAACTTTGGCAGCCATTTGGAGATGTAGCTGCGGCCCCTCCACAGCTCCACGATGGCTCCTCGTCCCCGCGTCCCCTCGAACCCGTCGCCAGTGTTGCCAAGTTTGCGGCAAATAATTAAAAACCAACAGACAATTAAACATGAATTATGTATTAATAATTTCTTGGCCAAAAACAATGCTAGAACGGAGAAGCAGCTGATGGCAAGTGGCTTTTGACTAAACTGTGATTGAGGACGGGCTGGTTGTGTCGCGGATTGGTGGAAAGGGGAGCAGGAGGTCTGTCTCTTGGCTGCGGATCCGGGGGCTGGGCAAAATTTATGCACTGCACAGCAACAAAAGCAGCGGCAACATTTTCAAACAAACAAAACATTGAAACGCTTCCCACGCGTCCAACAATGGTGAGAGAATTTTTGAATGCTTTTCCATTGCTAACACAACAATCAAATGGGCGCTTTTTTTTTTTTTTGGGGGGGGGTTCCAAAGTCTTTTGCCACATGCAACAGCAGGTCGACTGAGTGACGCACAGTGGACAAACTGTTTCCTGAAAACTATTCGCAACACCTGAGCTTTCATTTGAGTTAAAGCTTTAAGTGCGCATTAAAGCTTCGGCTTAAAGAAAAAGCTCTTAGCTAGTCTGGTCTCTTTTTCCATTGTTTTCAGCTCAATTTGACTTGTCAAAGCTGTTAACAAAAGTAATTAATTTTAAGGTTTATCTCTTCTGAATTTGGCTAAAGAATTGAATGTCATTGAGTTGTTTAATCTTAATTTAAATTAAATCCTAGACAACTTAATTTATTATAATTTTTCATTATCTTTTCAATTACCATAATGTCAAATTTCAGGGTTAAAGTAAAAAAATCTTAATACATTTTATCAAACTAACCTGGCCAAAAGATCGTTTGCTAAAATCTCGTTTGAAGCTTCATAAAGTAATTAAGCATATTAAAAGCTTGACACTCAAATGGCTCGCGTTGTAACGCTCTGTAAAGCACATTAAAAAGTTATTCATATTATAAAAAATTCAACTAATTAAAAGCTGGCCTTGAAAATAGCTTGAGCTGAAAGGCTTTGTACAGCACTGTGATGAAAAGCCATGCAAGCTTTCTTTGTAGATTTTATATCAAATAATCAAAAGCTCGCAAAGCACATTAGGAAATATGTCAAAACTGTCAAAAGCTCATCTTGCAAAAACTTTGCAAGGCTCATCAAGGTCATGAAATTAAACTGACCAAAAGCTCGCCGTGAAAGCTTTTTTATGTACATTATATCAAACCTCGATGTAGATATTTTGGCATGTATTTAATTACTTTTTAAGCTATTTTCAAATTAAAGCTCTAGGCTGCAAAAGCTTTTTTGCCTTTTAAATCTTTGCTTCCTCTAAAAGCTTGTTTTGTTAGTTTTTTTTTTTACATTTTTGTTGCTGTCATTATTTCTTTTAATTCGGCCTTAAAATGTTTGTATAACTTAACACATTTGCTTGCCCAATGTCTTTTATTTGCCATGATTTTATTTATTTAACAGCTGTGCATTGAAAAATGGACAAATCCAACAACTAAATTATTAAATATTTCAATTTTCATTTTAGGATTAGTTCTAATATTTATGTTTTTACTTATGCATTTCGGGAATTGGTTGTGTTCTGTTGTCTTTTCAATGCTAGCCGCCCATCGTGCAACGTTTCGGGGCAGAGTTAAGCACGCGTGGGAGTTGCGCTGCACTCGGTGAGTGTTGCGCCCGAGTGTGTGTGCGTGTGTGTGTGTGTATGTGTGTGTGTTCGTGTGTGTGTGTGTGTGTGTGTGTGTGTGTGTGTGTGCGTTTGAGTTTTTCCGTTTGTGACGCCATTTTCATAAGCAGCCGGGGCAACATTTTGTCTCTGGCCCCGTTGTATATTCTGTTGTATATGCTGTTGTTGTTGTTGTTGCTTTCGTTGTTGTTGTTGTTGTTGTTGTTGTTGTTGTTGTTGTTGTTGTTGTTGCTCTCGTTGTTGTTGTTGTTGTTGTTGTAGTTGCGCTTTTTTGTGTAGTGTAGCTGCGGCGTCTAAATAAGTTTTTCCGTTTCTTGTTTGCATATTTTAACCAGCCAGTTTGTGTTTTTCCCACTCGCTCTCTCTCTCTCTCCCTCTCCCTCTCGCATGCTCTCTCGCTCTGGTCGATTTATTTATTTAGATTTTATTGCATTTTCATTTGGCTTTAGCTGTGGGCGCTTCTTTAATTAAATGCATAAACCAAAAGCCCGTTAAAAGTTATATTAAAAATCATTTTTGTAAAACAAAGTGTTACATTTACAAGTGTGGACGCAGGGAGGGAGAGAGGTAGGGAGGGAGGGAAGGCGGCGCCAACTTCTCTGCAATGAGAGACAAATTACACGGGCGAAAGCTGATGGGCTGTGGAAAACGGCGCAGCATATGGAAAAGCGGCCAGCAAAAACAACAACAACAACAAAAGCAACCGCAGCGTATTATGAATTGTTTTTAATTGCATTGAATTTGTTGGCAGCAAAAAAAAAAAAACAAATTATGTTGCAACGCTTGTGAAACCAAAAATCGGGGCCAGCAGCAACAACAACAACAAAAATGGCAACAAAAAAAAAAAAAGAAAAACAGTCGCAACAAAGACAACAAGAAAATTAAACCAGCACTTGATTGTATATGGAAATCTTAAGTACCAAAAAAAAAAATGGAAAAAAAGGCTGGAAAAAAAACAACTCAAATTTGCCGCCTGGTGACAATGATTAAAAACTTTTCGAGACAGTTGACGTTGCAGAAAATACTCCAAAAATAAAGAAACAAAAATGAGCATAAAGAAGAAGAAGAATAAAATAACCCCCAACAGGCTGCAAAATTAGGTTAGTAGCGGGGCGCCGCGAGGTGGGGGGTGGTCTGTACGGTTGTGTGTGTGTGTGTGTGTGTGTGTGTGTGTGTGTGTGTGTGTGTGTGTGTATGTATGTGTTTATAGTCACATATGCAATTTGATTAAAACTTTATATCCCAAAATAAAAACAAAAAAGAAAGTCAACTCCTAGTTGCAAGTGCTCGGTGGCAGATACCTTGGATTTAGTTGCAGACGAGTTAAAATATATATTATAAACAATTCCTTGATTAAATTCCTCTACCAATTTGTATTATAAGCTTATGTGTGCTCGGTCTTCACTTTTTCGGATTATATCTGGTTTTCCATATGCTACAAAGGGCATCTCATCTTCGGTGTTCCAACTCTAATTCTCTCTGCAACTTTCTCTGCTCCATATATATATATATTTATATTTGATGTAGAACAATTGAAAGTTGTTCGAGCTTGGGTGTATGACACATATATGCATGCTATATATGAACACCTATACATGTACCCAACTTTAAACAAGCTAGAAAAGCTTTAATTTGTTCTGCAATATTCTACATTCTCTTTATATTTATTTTTATGCGCAAATATTTTCAAATTTATAACGTCTAATAAACAGCTTGAGTGCCAGAGCAAGCAGCATACTAACGATATGCAACTGGTGGCTGCCTTGGCTATTAGTGTGGCAACGCTCCATAATGTCATAGCAAGCAGCATACTAACGATATGCAACTGGTGGCTGTCTTGGCTATTAGTGTGGCAACGCTCCATAATGTCATAGCAGGCAGCATACTAACGATAGGGAACTGGTGGCTGTCTTGGCTAGCAGTGTGGCAACGCTCCATAATGAATCTGCAGGGCTGCCACACTTGGCTTAAAAGGCGCGCAATTTCAAATTAAACCGTTTTTAAGCCACAATAAAACTGTTGAATAATTCTTAATACTGATTCGTTTTAAGTTAAATAATACATTTTTCAAGCTCGCAAATGTGTCCAACTACAATGACTTGCAGCTAAATTATGTTGATACTCGAGCCTAGATTCTCGACTTTTGCTGCACTTGAATGACTCGTTTGACAATGGTTTACTAATGTATACGTGGCATTTAATATATAACTAATTTTTAAAATTCAACAAAGTCATCAATAACTCTCAAATATCCTTGATAACAGCTCACAAATAACGGTAAACTTTTTGTAAATAAACATGGCGGCCATGGGGTGGGCCAGTCAGAGAGCCAAGCGAACGAAAACGAAAGAGAGAGAGAGAGAGTGAGAGAGAGATAAAACGAAATCACTCGCTTTTCATGCGTGTGGGAGAGCTCTGGAATGCGCGCGCTTTTTTGTGAGGGCAACAACAACAAGAGCAACAACACGGTGCGTTATAAACAGGAAGCTTTCTATACGATTGCACAGCTCGGAGCGCAATTATTGCGCGACTGGCAATCGGCGCGGCAACAACAGCAAAAACGCTGCAGCCGCAAAAACAAAACACAGACTAACGATTACAAAGCAAATAACGGTTAAATTGTCGACTGTGCGCTGCCTTCAACGTCGGCACCGACGCCAGGGCTGGCACAAAAGTCGCTCGTCAGTCGCCACTTTGCATTCTAGGAGCAGCTATATAGCTTCCACTCCCATTCATTCAGTTACAACAATTCATTCAGTGTGTGAGTGTTGATGAGGTTAGTTGTAAAAGCCCATTGTGTCGCCAAACGTCAAAAAGTGCTAAGCAATCAAACGGTAAAATGTTCAAAGTGCAGTGCGTAACCAAGTCAAAGAACAACTAGAAATAAAGGAAGAACATAGTGTAAAGGATTCCCCAAGAGCTTGGCTGTGCGCGCTGTGGGCGCTCGTTGACGTAAAATTGTGTTGCATACTTTTGAGCTGGCCGCGAAAATCACTGCGAACATGTTGGTAAGTTGCAGCGCATGAAAGTATGCAATAGTTTTTAAATCTTCCCTGTTAATTGTGTGCGAATTCCGTTACATGAGAATTGCATATGCTAAGGAATTCAAAAGGATTCCTAAACATTAACCATATGTATTTTAAACAGAGTTGCTAATTAATAAAAAGGCGTTTAATGGAGCCTTATGTAAAAATCTATTCCTGGGGGCAATTAAAAAATTTTCCAACAAATGATTTATTGATTTTTCCGCACTGCGTTTGTGTGTGTGTGTATGCGAGTGTGTGTGCGTGTGAGTGCGAGCGTATGGCCTGTCTGTGTGCGTATATTTTTCGGTATGCACTTTTTCCAGAGAAACACCCCACCGCCGCCAGCACCATCCCGAAGAGCAACAGCAGCAAACTATTGTCGGGCTCCAAACAACCCCCACAACTAAAAAGCGCCAACTTCTATTTTTCCATCATCAATACTTTCTCCACATGGAAACAATTGCTATGTTTTTGTCATTGGTACTGGTATTGGAGCAGGCGCTCTATGCAGCAAAAATACCAACCCCCAAAACAATGCAAACACTCACACTCACACCCACCCACACACACACATACACGCACGCACGCACACAGACACGCACACAACGAAATTGAGGCTTCGGCTGCTTTGGCATTTGAAAACTACAAGCGAGCGACTTTTCGCACTGGGTTGGGTGGTGGTTTTTCCTACCACCGGGCGGCGCATATCATAAATTTTGTGTCTATAACAATTTTTGGTTCAGCCAACTCTCCCCAGCCCCCGGAAGCTACGCCATCGCATCAAAAAACTGCAAAGGAATTGTTGCAGTTTTCAAATCAGACTCCAGCCAACAGAGAGTGAGAGAGAGGCAGAGAGCGAAAGAAAAAGAGAGGGAAAGAGAGTGCGAGAGCTTTGTATTTTCGACTGCCCGTTCTCTCTTTGCGCGCATAGTGTCACATAGTTTCAATTCGCTCTTCACTCCCCTCCACTCCCCTCCTCTCCTCTGACAGCTCAGCTGCGTTCTCAAATGCAATTGCATTGCTCTGTCTTTTTCTCCCACTCGCTCTCTCTCTCTCTGTCTCTCTCTCTCTCTCGCTCGCACAGACTCTTTGACTTTTGTGGGCGTAGTTGGGCGTTCGCTGCATATGGTTTTTGTGCTTTTGCTTTTTATGCAACATATGCGGCATATGCATGCACATGTGTGCATGTGCATGTGCATGTTCATATGCATGTGTGTGCGAATCGACAGTTGTGTGCGTGTTTTCATTATATAATTTGTATTTTGTTATTTATGCTCCTGCATTTTGTAAAACTAAATTTCTTTCTGGATTTTATTTTGCATGTTGTTGCCAGGCAATGCAAACAAACGTCGAGTGGGACGAGGGAGGGGGGGGGGGGGGGGGGGGCGTGCGGGCTTTTATTAGTGCATTACATATGTACATGATTTATACCTTATATAAAATGCAAAGCTTTGTGCATATGTATTGCATGCAAGGGATTATGAATATACATGTATGCATTTCCATATGTCTACTATATATATTAAAATATATATCGAGAAACTTTTTCTATATGTGCATGCGTACATACAAGTTATTGGTTTGGGAAATTGTGTGTAATTTGTGTGCATTTCAAATGCAACTAAAGTCTGTCTATGACTTTATATATTCTGCTCTTAAAATGCCGAAAATTTAATTACATTCTGAGCGTCGCCTTCTGTTTCATATCAAAGAACTAACCAAATTTATAAAGGATTCAATATTTTTGTACCTTTCCAATAAACATTTCTAATGCACTTTTGCAGCCGATTGGGTCTGAAATGTTAGTTTGTATGTCTAAACTAATTTAAGCATAAAGGCACCAATACTTACACGTAAATTCCTCTACATTCCACATTCGTTATATCATCGTGTGCAAGTTCTGCAAATTGCATAAGCTTAGACTAATAAACACATAAGATATTATCTCTTCTATATTTCCCTACTATTTATCAAGCTTTCATACAGATTTCCTTCAGTTACTTTATCGAAGCAATTTCCTTAACCAATTTACTCCTCTAGAATTTAGAGGTATTTTTGTATATTTTAGATTGTATGTCTATTCCATACCAGAGTATCAGAAGATTAATGCTAAATACCCTTTAAGAGGGTATTATAAGTTTGTCAAGAATATATGTATATTCTAAATCAGCCTCAACAGGCGAGTTGATAAAAACATATCCGCGCAACTGTCTGTCTCCTCATATATGTATGTGCCAAATCTGATCAAAGTCGGACTACTATATCATATAGCTGTCATAGCAACGATCGGTCGAAAGTTACTTCTTCTATCAGCTCGTTACTTATAAGATTCGCAATGCTCCCTAGATGTATATGCCAAATCTTATCCACATCGGATTTTCATATAGCTGCCATACGAACTATTCTGGTCTCCCAGATATTGTAGAGCAAATGTCTATTTCTTCGGCGTGCCTAAGTTATCCTTCCTTATATGTATATATGATTTTATTGAAGTATGCGCATTATTTTTCTGGGAAATTTGTTAAAAAACAAATATGCCTCAAATTGCTTCATTTCGAAATATGTTCTAGGGGGGCATCTAAACTACCGACCATTTCCTGTTGATCAAATTCCAGTTTGACCTGGCACCAGAGTTACCCACTAACAAAAACAAGAAAGCACACATAGCCCAGAAAGCCGTGACTCACAACCGCAAAAGCGGGCACTGTATCCAACCACCTCGCACACACACACACACACGCACACAGACACACAGATAGGCAGACAGACAGACGAACATGAATAGATGGTCGGCCCACCCACGCCCACGTTTCCAAGTTTTTGTAGTCGGCAAATTGCGCATGCGTTACCCTACCCATACCCGCACCCGCACCCGCACCCGCACCCGGACCCGTTCCCGACCCACGCTACGCCATATTGAATATGTGAGAGCGCTGAGCGAGCGACGATCGCAACCCACCCTCTGGCTATTGTCTGCCCATTGTTGTTGTTGCTGTTGCCTTGGCGAGAGGGTCAGGTTTGGCCCCTCTTGAATGTCACTCCATCACTTTTTATATTTCTTTTTTTTTTATATATATTGTTAAATGAGACGTGACAAAGTGCAGGCAAATCGTGACAATCGGGAAAGAATCGAGTCACTCCATGCTCAGGGATTTCGTGGTCTTAGCTGGCGCCTTTACAAGTGAAGCCCTATTCGGCGACACTTTCTCCCAGAGAAGGAGAAGGGCTTCTCGGCGAGGCAACAGGTTCCCTCGGAGGTCGAAGCCATGTGTTGCTCTGGCGTTTTGTAATTGCCTTTGCTCATTACGCAGCTTTCGTTATATCACAAATGCGTACGAGCAAAAGGACGCACGGTGCACCCGACAAGTGCAACAGCTGCGATATCGCCCTTCAATGCGCGCAGAGGTTCGTTTGTTCGATTTCGACCGGCTGTGTTGGCTGTGCGCTCGCCTTGGCCAGTGGGCCACATGTTTGAAGCGGTCTCGTTAGGGCTGCTGCAAACCGGTTCGCTGGCTGCTCCTTTGCAACGGTCGCGTCATCCGCTCGCCACTTGCGTGGCAATGAAGCTTAAAAGTAGGGTGCTCCATTTCACTGGGCAACCTGTTTTGTTTTGCCTCTGATCTGCAATCTGGCGCAATGCGCTGCACTGAAGGCATTTCCGATTCGTACGACCAGTTGAACAGATAGATAACATAAAGGGAATTAAGGATATATTCAATTTGATCGAATTGTAAACGAAATGGAAAGCTCGCTTTATTTTCGATTAACTTTATTTTCCTTAACGGTATTACTATTTATTGTTTTATAAGTTTCCTAATAAGACCTAATTCGAATTATATAATTTGTTCTAAGCCTTGGAATTCAAAAAAAAAAATGAAATAATAATTAATTAATGCAGAGGATTTTTGTAGTATACGAATTTAAGATTTAAGTCTGGAAAGTATTCAAATTCATTAAATGTTGTTTTCTTCTTCTTGTTCTCATAACAATTTATTTAGCTATTTATATATGTATATATTACTATCTATATTAGTATTAATATTAGTATTAATATTATTAGCATAACAAGCATAGTATCAATTTTGTGTAGGGCACTCTTAAGTTCATTTAACTGTTCTAGTTTCGCTCTCATCCGTATGCATTTTAGCCCATAGTACTCAATCATTGATGCACTCACATCGCTCCTTTCTGATAAAAGCAACAATAATAAAGAAGAACCGTAACTTTGCGCTACAAGAGACAACAGCGCATCTTGTGCGCTGCGCACTAGCGCAGTCGCAGCGCTGCATTATTTGCAGCATCTTTTTTTGCAGCCATTCAGATTGCGTTAAACTTTCAATTTCATTGGCTTGCCGCGCTGCTCGCGATTTCGTTGTAGTTGCTGTCCAGTGCAACATTGCACTATTGGGGTATTTCCCATGTGAGTCATGCAATTTGCATAGCATTGACAGAATGTTAAAGCTGAGTTTTGTTCATTGGCTTACTTCAACCTAACCTCAATTCGAGCGCTGCTGCCCACGCTGCAGCCAGCGCCACCCAGCTGCCAACTACCTGCCCAACCTTATGTACATATCCACACGCAGACAAGCATGTATTGTGTCTACCTGGACTATGTATCAGCACCTCCTCGGAAACGAGCCCAAAAAAAGCAGCGGCCACGCTAATGAACGCAACAGTCAATCCGTCCCCCGTAGACGACGCCGCCAACAGTAACAGCAACAAAAACAGCCACAAGCAGCAACCCACATGCACGAAGATCATTACCAACAGTCAACCCGCCGACGCCGACGGCCGCGCATAAAAACACAGCAACAAAAATCAAGTTGCGCAGCGGACGCCACACAAACTGACCTGCTTCTGCGCGACAGCGCTGTCGCTATATCGGCAGTGGCAGCGGCAGCAGCACCAACAACAACGCTGTCCAGAAATTCTACAAGCCAACCCACCCTACGCAAAAAACAACAACAACGTTAACTCAACCG